TTAGATGATGAATAAAGCCATGGATTCATGAAATTTATACCATTATGGGTTAGAATCACTTACCCAATGTTGCTCCTTGAAATCCCTCGAAAAATCGCCTCTCCCAAGTTCCTCAAGCCAAAATTGAAAATGGAGAACAAAACCTCGAGCTGAGGTTTTCTGCCCAGCAAAACCACACCTGCGGTCCTATTTTTGCACCAGCGGGACCGCATCTGCAAAGAGGGCTCCGCTTCTGCGGAATTTCATTAAAAGAACTAACTCCGCTTCTGCAATCACCTGACCGCATATGCGGTCATCGTAGATGTAGGGACCAAGCTGCACACCTGCGCCTCAAAATCCGCTTCTGCGACCTTGCACCTGCGGTTCCCCTTCCACGGGTGCGGGAACACCAGCAACAGCAGCTTCAGCTATATTTTTCCAACTCCAAACACTCTGATCACTACCCGAAATTACGTCGAGGCCCTCGGGACCATAACCAAACATACTAACAGATCCAACAACATCATATGAACTTAGTCTAACTTTCGGATCACTCAAAACAACATCGAAACGCCAAAATACCCTCGGATTCAAGCTTAAGAGCCTCTAAACTTCCGAATTTCACAAACGATGCCGAAACCTACCAAAACACGTCAGAATGACCTCAAATTTTGCACACAAGTCAAAAATGACACCACAGACCTACTCCAACTTCCAGAAATCCAGTCCGACCCTGATATCAAAATTTCCACTTCCGACCAAATTCGCAAAAATTTCAACTTTCGCCAATTCAAGCCTAATTCTACTATGGACCTCCTAATTACATTCCGGACGCGCTCCTAAGTCCAAAATCTACTAATGGAGCTAACAGAACCATCAAAATTTGAATCCGAGGTTGTTTACACATAAGTCAACATCCAGCAACTCTTCCAATTTAAATCATCTCATAAGAGACTAATAGCCCGTTTGGCCAAGCTGCAAAAATTAGCTTATTTTGAGAAGTGCTTTTTCTCAAAAGTACTTTTCTCAAAAGTGCTTTTGGTGAGAAGCAGTTTGTGTTTGGCTAATTAATTTGAAAAATACTTCTGAGCAGCAATTAGTATTTGGTCAAGCTTTAAAAAACTGCTTCTAAGTGTATTTTTCTCAAAAGTGCTTTTCAAAAAAGTGCTTTTGGAGAGAAGCTACTTTTTTCTGCTTCTCCAAAACTGCTTCTGCTTCTCCTCAAAAGCACTTTTTTCTTTTCAAAAGCTTGGCCAAACACCTTAATTTTAGAAAAAAGCACTTTTGACTAAAAAAAAGTGCTTTTGCCTCAAAAGAAGCTTGGCCAAACAGGCTATAAGTGTCTCAACTCACTCCAAAATCACTCTGAACCCAAACCAACTAACTCGGTAAGTCAAAATACAGCTGAAGAACACAAAAGAAGCAGGAAATGGGGGAATAGGGCTATAACTCTCGAAACAACCGGCTGGGTCGTTACAGGTAGTTCATCCAAATCCAAGGCTGTAGAGAAAAATAATAACAACACTGATGGATGCTACAAGTGCGGAAAAAAAGATCACTTTATCAAATACTATCCCTTGTGGGAACTTGAGTGGAAGAAGAACAATCCTAATAAGGAAAAATAAAAGAAGAAAGACCGAGTTCCCGGACAAAGAATGACAAATAAGGCAATGGACAAAATTGTGAAAAGAGTTATGGATGCCATGCAATCATCCTCAACTGATGAGTTTGATGATGATGGAAGTGAAGATGAATATCAATCATTGATGTCCAAGGAGGATAGTGATTTAGAACCAGAAGATTTCCTGGCACTGATGGCAAATTCAGATTCTAATGTTGATGAGGAAGAAGATCCTGAGGTAAGATTTCACGACATCAAAGACAAGATCCACACCTACTCTAAAAAGAAATTAATTTCCTTGTCAGGTGTATTGATTGATGCATACCTAAAGATTTTTTATGAAAAGGAACATTTAACGAATGACTATGCATCAGTTAGGTTTGAACACAAAGGTCTAAAAATAAGTAGAGAAATCTTGAAGTCTTTGTAGTTGTTCTCAAGGACCAGATTCATGTGTTAGAAGATGAAAAGGCTGTCTTAGAAACTGAGGATAGTAAATTGCTCAATGCTCCAAATAAAGGTAGGGTTCTAGCCACTAATATCTAGGAGAAACTAGGGAGTGAACTAAAAGAAGCAAATAACAAACTTCTAGTTGAATCTTAAAAGGCTAGGATACGTAAAGAAAATCTGGATAAGGCCAAGTTTGAATTAGAGAAGAACTTAATGTGGATCAAGTCTTCCCCAAAAATGTTCAAGATGCATAAAAGCCACAGTAGTAACAAAAAAGGTGTAGGATATACTAAGGCTAAGACTCCATACAATCCGCATAGTAAGTATGTAGACATTTCTAAGAATCGTCTTTGCACTCACTTTGGAAATAATAGATACTTAAAGAAACATGCACATCTAGAATCAAAGCAGGCTTGAAAAATATTGCATATATGGAGAAAAAGAAAGTGATGAAACCTGGTCCTTGACTGGAAGGTAATAAACTACCAGGATAGACTAAGAAGAATGTTATCCAACCTTTCACTCAAAGAAAGGGACCCAAGATTGTCTGGGTTCCTTTGCAGGCTAAGGTGAGAGGAAGCAAAAATTAGTTGTATGTTGATAGTGCTTGCTCCCGCCACATGACTGAAAATACAAATAATTTCCTCTCACTAAGAGCCTATCAAGGAGGGGGTTTAGGCTTTGGAAATGGCAAAAAGGGTAATATAATCGGTATAGGTAAAGTTCGTAAATTTCACTCATGCTATTGACAATGTGTATTATGTTAAAGGATTGAAGTACAACTTGTTGAGTATGTCTCGAATATGTGACAAAGGGAATCAGGTTCTCTTTACTTCTAAGAATTGTATGGTTACAAATGAAAACTCTGAAAACATGGTTCTCCAAGGAAAAAGGCACTAAAATGTTTAAAAAGTTGATATCGCATCTTTGCCTGAAAATGAACTCTCATGTCTTAGTGCATTTGATACTGACTCCTTTATATGGCACAAAACACTAGGGCATGTTAGTATTTCTATGTTAAACAAGCTAATTACCAGGGGCCTAGTCCTTAGGCTGTCTAAGTCAAAATTCAGGAAAGATAAAATTTGTGAAGCTTGTGCTGAAGGTAAGCAGGTCCGAGCATCATTCCATTTCAAGAAAGTGTTAAGTACCTCTTGACCTCTGGAGCTACTTCATATGGACTTATGTGGACCAATGACGGTTTAAAGTAGAGGTGTAAAGAAATATGTGTTTGTAATTATTGATGATTATTTTAGATTCACATTGACTATATTTTAGGTAACAAAGGATGAAACATAAGACATATATGTAACGTTTGTAAAGAAAATACAAAGAAAAATGAACGGTCATACAGCTAACATTAGATCTGACCATGGAACTGAATTTGAAAATGTTAACTTCCTGGAGTTCTGTGCTGAAAATGGTATAGACCATAATTTCTCTGCTCCTAGGATGCCACAGTAGAATGGTGTTGTAGAATGAAAAAATAGAACTCTCGGACATGGCCAGAACTACGTTAATCAGTAGGGGACTTCCTAAAACTTTTTGGGTTGAAGTTGTGAACACTGCATGCTACATCATAAATAGATGCATGATTAGGCCTCCTATGAATTACTTAATGGAAGAAAACCAAATGTTACCCACCTAAGAGCCTTTGGAAGAAAGTGTTTTTTATACAACAATGGTAAAGGGGCTCTAGGAAAGTTTGATGCTAAAAGTGATTTGGGTGTCTTTCTGGGTTACTCACTGCATAGTAAAGCATATAAAGTGTACAATAAAAGAACAAAATATGTTGGAGAAAGTATTCATGTAATCTTTGATGAATCTAACCATTTGGCTGAGAAAGGTACACATGTTGTTGATGATGTTGATTTTGGTCCTGCTAAAAATAATGAGGAACAATCAAACCAAGGACTCCCAGAGGCTGCTGCTGAACTACAGCAAGAAACGGGTCCTTTGGAAGCTATTCAGGATATATCACAAACATTGGGAACATATCAAGAAAATTAGATAGAAATTTTAGCACCCGGTTCCACTGCTGAGCATGAAGGAAACATTGAGATTCAAGGCCCACACACTAAGGCGTGGAACATCAAAGCTCCCATCCACTTATCAATGTGCTTACACCAATTGATTCTAGAATGATGACCAGATCAAAATTAAGAAATATGATTGCCTTCTCAGCCTATATATCTATGGTGGATGGAGATGCAGATTGGATAATGTCCATGCAGGAGGAGCTAAATCAGTTTGAAAGAAACAAGTTTGGCAAATGGTTCCCAACCCAAAAGATAGAACGGTCATTGGAACTAGGTAGGTGTTCAGGAACAAGCTGGATGTTGAAGGAGAAATTACCATAAACAAGTCAAGATTAGTTGTACAAGGTTACAATCAAGAAGAGAGATTAACTACGATGAAATGTTTCCCTTGTTGCAAGGACGGAGGCAATACGCATGATCATTGCCTTTACATTATACATGGGTTTAAAATTGTATCAAATGGGTGTGAAGAGTGCCTTCTTGAATTGGTACTTGAAAGAGGAAGTGTTTGTACGACAACCTCCAGGTTGTGAAAGTCATGAGTTCCCAGATCATGTGTACAAATTGGACAAGGCATTGTATGGTTTAAATAGGCTCAAAGGGCTTGGTATGAAAGACTGTCAAAGTTTTTTCTGGAGAACGAGTTCTCACGAGGCAAGATTAAAAACACACAGTTTCTATTGAGAAGTGGAAAGAACCTATTGATAATACAAATATATGTGGATGACATCATTTTTGGAGGCACGAACGAATCATTATGTAATGCATTTGCTGAACTAATGGGCAGTGATATTGAAATGAGTATGATGTGAGAATTGAATTTCTTCCTTGGGCTTCAAGTAAAGCAGAAATCTAAGGGAACCATGATACACCAACATAAATACATTAAGGAGTTACTCAAAAGGTTTGATATGGACAATGCAAAGATAAATGATACTCCCATTGTCACTGCAACCAGGTTGGATATGGATGAACTTGGTATCCGCATTGATGAGAAGAAATTCAGAGGTAGGATTGGGTCCTTGCTCTACTTGACTGTAAGTAGGCCCGATATTGTGTACAACATGGGGTTGTGCGCAAGTTTTCGGTCAATCCCAGGAGATCTGCACTTCAAGGCTACAAAAAGAATCTTGAGAAATCTTAAGGGTACTCTAGACCTAGTTCTTTGGTATCCAACTGGAGACTCCTTCAAATTGATTGGATATGCAGATGCTGACTACGCTGGTTACTTGGTGGACATGAAAAGCACATCAGGGATGGCTCATTTTCTTGGTTTATGCTTAATCTCATGGGCATCTAAGAAATAAAATTCAGAGGCCATATCTACTGCTGAATCTAAATATGTAGCAGCTGCATCATGTCGTGTCCAACTATTATGGATTAAGCAAAAATGGAAAACTATAGGGTGATAATTGATAGGGTACCCATATTTTGTGACACTACAAGTGCTATGAATATATCTAAGAACCCAGTTCACCACAAGAGAACCAAACATATTGATGTGAGGCACCACTTCTTAAGGGACAATATTGAGAAAAGTCACATCTCTAAGGAGTTTTGCAAGACAGAGGAGTAGATTGCTGACATATTCACCGAATCTTGGTGCAGGGATCACTTTGAAAGAAATCTCTTGGAGCTTGGTTTGATCAAAATGGATTAGAACATTATGGACTTCCCGTAATGATTGACTATGTCTTAATAATTTGTCTAGTAAGTAAATGTGTAGAATAATATTTGACTCAGTCTTATATTGTAACAAGTATGCACACATGAAATTAGTTCTAGGGCTTGGATATGTAATCAAATGACAAAGGCTAGCACAAGAAAAGTTCTCTCAGCCAAGATTGAGGAAATTAGTCAAAGAACCTGGTTGTATAACACTGAGGTATGTACACCATTTCTAATTGATTGTTGTGCATAACTGTTAAATTGTCATGTCATTCAAATCAGATTCTCACTACCCTTACTTGTATTCTGTAACAAAATCTCTCTAACCCTAGGAAATTAAAAGTGTACCAGGTTCCAAAAATAAAACTGTCAAGTCACAGGGTAAATATGATTAGCTCTCGTTCGCGTGTAATCAAGACCATTTTTCTAAACTTCCCTGCACACGTCTCTGCTGCCCAATTGAATTCCCCAATCGCCACTTTTAAATTTCAAAATACGACAGTTACCCCCTTCCCTTTTAGAACGGGATTAGGATTAATTAAAAAGAAAATCAAGGCTGAAAAATTGTCAAATCATTCACTATAAAACCTTCTCTTCTCTCCGTTCCCCTCTAATGCGATCAAAATCAATCGACAAATTCCCAAGCTTGAACAGAGAAAAACCCTAGTTTATGTCTTCTTCAAAATCATAAATTTATTACAATGACGAACTCACCTAGCAAAATTTCCTCTGAAATTTCTGAAGAAAACTCTCCTCATAACCCTACTACACTTGTTTCCACAACAACCCAAATTAAGTCTGCCCAAGAACCATCCTCCTCACCAAAAGCCCCAAAATCTTTCACTGGACTAGTTGACTACTCCGACGAAAAAAGAGAGGTTGGTTCTGAACATGCAGAAGAGGTGGGCGGTGAAAAGGAGAAGTTGAAATACTGGCAAAAGTTGTAGGGGTTGATAAGTTGGTGAAGGAGAAAGTGAGTGATAAAATTGTTGGTTATGTGATTGAGGAGACACTTGAAGAAATAGTAGGAGAAACCTATAGAGAACGATCAAAGTCAAAGTGTTTGCGCTGGAGTAGAAGCACCAGAAGCTCTTGGACAACAACTAGGTTCTTCTACTGTTGGTAAGGGAGAACTTGCCGCAGCGGGAGATGCTGAAGAGGTGACTATGCACGAAACTGGTCAGGTTCATAACCTAGTTCTTTGAACGCTGATCCAAAAAATCATAATCCCTTAATTGGACTGACACTGAGCAGGAAGAAGAAAAGGAAAAGGAAGGAGAAGCAGAAGTTGGGAAAGAGAGTAGTGATGACAGTGATGATGAGGCCCTGGTGAACTTGTTTGTCAGGAAGGAAGAGAGAAAGAAGTATGAGGAGAAAACCCTCCCTAAGAGGGTAAACGTTGTAGCAATGAAAGCAGTCTTGCCCTACGGGTCTGTCACGTTGGAAGGAAGAATACCTATAACAAGAGGAAAGAGCAAGACAACACTTGAAAAAGCCTTGGAGGAGAAAAAGAAGAAAGATAAAAAAGGTTCAGACTGGTTGATGTGTTCGATGTAAAGGAAGTTGATCTTGTGAGGGGAGAAGAGGATGAAGAAGAAGAAGAAGAAGAAAAAGAAGAGGATTGGAAGTCTCTCTTCAAATAAAAGGCAAGAATAGGTCTGAATCATCTTCAGCCACTCCCAAGGAGAAGTCTGCCAAAAAAGAGAAAGGATGCAGTATCAGAACTAGAAGTGAAAGGAACCAATTCCAAACGCAGGAAAAAGACTCAAAGAAAAATTGCTATTGTGGGCAAAAAGGAGTGGTTTGATGGGTCGATGATGCTTAAGGGTCGAGTAATTTGCCCAGCTATGGTGACCATGTTTGGGATGTTGATTGATAAGTTGGAGGTCCAGGGATGGACGCACCTATTTTTATGCCCACTCCCAGTCATGTATGGTGAAGCAATGCTTCACTTTTTTCAAAAACATCAAAAAGCTAGAGGATGGCACAGTAGTTCTGAAGTTAGGGGAGTGGACCTAGTTCTTGATGTCAAATTACTAGGGGAAATTTTGAATGTGCCAGTAGAGAGATTTGACACTTACGTAAAGCGCGAGTGGCTTGAGTTGGGAGAATAGGAAGATGCCATGTACTTGACTAACAAGTACATTCAAGAAAGAGAAGAGCTTATGGCAAGAAAGGTAGGAAAATGGGAAATGAAACAAGTTCACAAACTATTATTTGAGTTTGTGAACAAGTGCCTACTACCTCGATCTGAAAGAAAGCATGAGGCAACTTACCTGGACTTGGCTGTGATGGAGGTTCTTGATAAGAACAGGCCAATTTACCTCCCATCTCTGATGCTAAATCACAAGGCAATGGGTACTGATCAGGAGAAGGTTATACATGCTTTGCCCTATGGGTTTCTTTTAATCAAGGTGTTTGAGCATTTTAAGGTTCCCCTCAGAGGTCCTAAAAGGGAATAAAAGGACATGTTTGATGATGAGACTTTGAAAGAGTGTGACTATGTTTCTAGACCACCGAGCACCAAAAGCAAGACCATGGTCACTAACCTTCCGGATCAGTTGGCTGCTAGCAATGAGGAAAAGGAGAAGATGAGAGAAGAAATTGCCTTATTGAAGGAGGAAAATAGGAGGCTGAACGAGGAGATGAAGAAAGAGCAAGAAGCCTCTACTACTAGATTTGACAGGCTTCTGGGGCATATTCAAGGAGAACCCTCTTCAAGCAAAGAACCTGATACTCAATCCTCTTACGTTTCTCAATCTGCCCTAAGTTAGTCCCTTGTCTTGCCCTCCGCTATGACAAGTGTCTGTATTTTTTTTTGTTATGTTTTGATGTAGTTGGCAATTTGACGGATTTGTTCAACGTTTGGTCCCCTTGGGCTTAATGTGGTACATAGTATAACAATGACAAATTAATATAAATTTTCTGACTTTTGGCAAATTCATGTGTTGTACGTCTGGGCTAACTTTTAATTTAGTTACTCATTTATGCTCCTGATGATATGTACATGTTAGTGTAGCCCCAGCAGCCCCCAACAGCCGTGAATTTTACATTATTGCATTCTCTTATTGACTTCACTGACGTCTTATTTTCTCGATGATTCCAAAATAGGGATGTTAAGTATGTGCTTAATCTATAAACCTGGTTCTTGAATGCCACTCGAACTAATAAAGGAAAATACTCTTGAGATGTCTGTTTGCAGGTTTTATAATAAATTATGCCTAGACATCTAAAGGGTTGCAATGAATGGAAGGCGAGTCCATTACACTTGTGCAAACATGGACAAATTGGAAGAATAGCGTTGTCAATGAAACTGGTTCTAACGCTAAAAATTGATTAAAAAAAATTAGTCAAGCTGTTGACTAATTTGCACATGGGCTTGTCATCATTAAAAGGGGGAATTTGTTGGGCTGAGCATAGAATTATGCTTTGATGATTAACAAACCATATTTGAGAACGGGTTTTATGATCAAGTTTGGTGTGCTACTAGACTGAGGTGCAGATAACAGAGATAAATATCAAGAGAACCAGGTTCACAACACACCACTAACAGAATGTTGTGCAAACGCAAAAGGAATACGCGTATTGGAGGACTCAGTTCACCAAAAGAAATTTGTATTTATGAAAAACATTTGTATGGGAAAATAAAGTTGACAACTTGGAAATAAATAAGGAAACCAAATCTAAAGATGAGAGGTTTTCCTTAATCGAAATATTCTAGGTTTTGGAGCATTAATTAAAGAAGATTTTCGGCCAACCTTGCAACTATAAAAGAAGACTTTTTGCCGCACTTCAAGACTACTACTATTGAGAGAAATCACTAAGAATACCTCTAACGATAGCAATCACGTACTTCTAAAGATTCAAGCCAACAACTGAAAAATCAGTTCCCGAAGATGAAGTTGCTCCAGTTCTTTAGTTGTTAGGTTGAGTCAAGTGTTCTCAATTGTAACCTATCTGCTTTTAAAGTGTAATAGTAGGTTATTGTTGAAACTTTATTTTTGTAAGCTTCCTAGGCTAGAGTTAGTTCGGGAAGGGGTTGCTACAATTGGGTGAATTGTAGGGGTTATGGTACTAAAGTTAGTCCCCTGGGTTATTGAGTTGTAACCTAAAACTGCTCTTTGAAGTTTAGTGAAGATTTGAGAAAAATTCTACTGGGTAGGTCGTGGTTTTTACTCCCTTGAGCAAGGAAATTTTTCACGTAAAATTCTCTGTATTGATTACTTTTCTGCAATTATTTCTATTTGAATAGTTCAAAGAACCAGGTTTCTGGAAACACAAAAATCAGGTAAGACACAATTCAACTCCCTTCTTATGTCTAGGTGTAGTCTAAAATAACAATATCATTTACAATTGACTGTGATAGAAAATAATTGCAAAGAATCATGCACCAGTAACAGCAACCTGATAAAGTACGCTAATGGGTGCCAGCAAAATTTCAAAAGAAATTATAGCAAGCAAATGAAGATGAAACTGGTGAGAAATAAGCGATCTAGAATCTCCATTTGCAGCAAGGCAATGGTGTTTATGATCAGAAACAGCCCAATGATCAAAACTCAAAGATGCCAGTTATCATTAAATCCGTATTCAAGATTGATTGCCATAATGCAACGAGGTTTTAATATAAATTATGGGTAAA